ACAGATGTTGTAACTATTAAACATTATTTATCATTGTAATCGGAAACATTATCCCTTATAAAAGTATTTAAATAAACTTTCTTCATGTTATTTATTTATAAGAATATTTTATTTAGCTTTTCATTATTCTAACTAATATGAAATAATAATAAAATAACTGTCATATTTTGACAGTAAAATGAGACAATTAAGGTTGAATCCCCCTTCTCTATACAACTATCATTTCTATTTATATGATAGTTCCTTTCTATTCTTGTGTAAAGAGTTTTTTTTAAATATTATCTTTAAATTGAGCTGGTCATTTAGTTCATAGAACATAACAAGATTCATTATCTTATATTAAAAATGATATGTAATTTTTCTATTGCTATGATCTCTTTCTTTTTGTGGGAATAAAAATATCTCAAAATATTATCATGTTATTTGCTTAAATAATATGAAGGATTTTATTAATTTATAAAGTTAATATATTTAGTAAAAAATAATTATAGTTATATTTAAAACAGTAATATATATTCAAAATAATTGTACCCATTATAAAACTATTATATATATTCATGAAAAGATTGTATACGACAAGGTTTATCTTGTATAATATTTTAAACCATTACAAATATTTTTAAAATTTACATAGCAAGTTAAAAAAATATACCAAAAAGCACTCACAATTCATATACCAAAAAATTTGCAACTTCTATTAAAAAACATAGTTTAATACTAAAATGGCCAAATTTGAGACATTCAAATTCTCGATGCTAAATTTTAGTGAGAAAAATATTAACAAATAACCGAAAATATGAGCTTATCCTATTTTAAAGAAGTTAAATTTATGATATTAATAATTTCAGCTCCTTTATCAAAATTTGTTTGGAAGAAATGGTAAAAGGAATTAAATTTTTGATCACTTGTAATTATTAGATATATAAACCTTTTACACAAACCTAGCATGTCTAAAACACAACCATCTAATCAAATTAAACAGTGACTCAAATTAACTAAGCTCGTTTCTTCCAATAATAAACTCTTGATTAACAATTCATCTTTTTCAATAATGTCTAAATTTTGAAGTTTTTTTTTCTGATTAAAGTATCCTAAAGTAAAAAAATATTAACTATACTCTTATTTCAATATATTGGCTATAAGCTTAAATGTTTTAGGAATATTAATGGATGTTGTATGAAAAAAGAATTTAATATTTTGTATTTGCTTTGTACTATGGCGAGACAATTAAATCTCACATATTCTATTTTAAAATCAAAAATAAAAAATTTTCGAAAAACATGGTATAATACATTTTTAACAATAAATTATGATTTTTTAATCAAAATATTTTTTTAATAATCTAAATTAATTCATGAATAAATAAATACAAAATAAATTAAACAGTAATTTATTAACGATTAAGAAAATACCAAGTAAAAAATAAACAAATTACAAATTGACAGCATCAAAATAAAACAACAAAATTCATGCTAAATCTTCCTCCATCACATAATCTATACACATTAAGGCTGCTCTCAGTTAAGATGGTATTAAAATATTGGCATATGAATTCATAATATACTGAAAATATGACAGAAATATAAATATCCACCGCAAACCAAAAGTCATAATTTGAAAGTTTATCATTTAAAGGTGTTTTACCATTGATCACGCCATCATATAGAAAGAATTCTTTAGGAAATTTTCTTGTTTTGAACCGTGATACCAAATAAGCTTTGTTAAATGAGTCGATTTCAAGAATGGCCACATTTGTGACCTCAAGTAATTTTTCAATTTTTTCTTTGGATTTGATAATATCATGTGTTAAAAATACATACCAATAATTACTTTGTAGCAATTCAAAATTGTTTCCATCTACATTTAAAAGTTGATGACTTCCATTTGGTATTCTTATTTCAATTGCTTTGTTTGACTTTTCGTTGAGTAAAAATAAAAATGAAAGAAAAGAAGTAAAAATTGCAGATAAAAATAGATTCATGCTGCGAAACATGGGTGTATGAATAAAAAAATAATTTATTATTTAATATCTTATTATAAAATGTACTAAAGATGTCATTATTTTGGTGACATCGTCTAGTGGTATGATGCGTGTTTCGGGTACGCGCGGCCTGGGTTCGAATCCCAGTGTTGCCATTTTTTACAATATATATTTGCAAATGCTTTTTTGATATTCATTAAATTCATGACCAACAAAAATAAAATCAATAAATCGTAGTGAGATTTTGAATGTGTTATTAAACCAAACTGCTATTTCATTCTTGCAGTCAGTATTTGTAAAATATTTATTTAATTCATTGTTTTTTAAATCAGAAAGAGATTTTTTGCCTGTAAATTTGGAAAACGTGCGCAAAAAATGCAATACATTTCTGTCATAGTTTAAGAAATAACATTCAATTTCTTTTATATCATTATTTTCAATTATCCTCTTTAAGTCATTAATCTTTTTTATGTTAAGTAAAACACATTTTTCTTTAAATATATAATTACTTTGTAAACATTCATTATTTCTTAAAATTAAGTGATTTTTAAAAAAATTTTTACAAAAATGTGTTTTCCCAGAATTTTTTCCTTTTCCAAAAACAATTATAATTTTTTTGTTTAAATCTACGACAGGGAGATTTTTATAACTCATAATATCATAAGTAATCAGTTGTATGTTTGGTTTGTTCAAAAAGAAAGATTCTGGTGTGTAAAACGAAATGTTACAATTATAGGCAAATTTAATATCGCAACAAGAATGGTCACTTTCTCTTCCTGCAGCATCCCCAACAAAAAAACCTCCCTCATAATTTTTAACAAATTGCTTTACATAATGAAACATCCCAGGAAGTGGTTTCCTATTAAAGTCATAATTCAAAGATGCGATGAATACAACAGGGAAACCAAATTGTGTTAAAAACTGCTTCAATTTTTTTTTAAAATTCCATAAATATGGATGTAAATTAAGTTGATTGCTTAAAATGCCAATTAAGTATCCTTTTTCATCATATTTTTTGAGCTCATTAATTGTATCTTTATGTAATAAAGACCAAGGACTTTTATTAGATAGTTTGGTATGTACAGGGTATTTTATCAATGTGTCATCCAAATCAAAAAGTGCTAATTTTGTTTTATTTTCTGGTTCTTTATTAAAATTTTTGTGTACAAATATTGATTTTTCATTGACTCCATTGTTTTGCATCATATAATTTTTTAGTAATATTTAATAATTTAAATATTTTATTTGTAAATTAAATTTAATTGCATCCTTTTTTGTTTTTTTTGAAAATAATAAAACAAACAATTGATAATTTAAAATATATTTTTAAAAAACATTATTTAAAGAATAAAAAATTTATTACAATTTTTTTCTAAATGAAATGTTTAAATAGAAACCTATAAATCTAAAAAACAAATATGACATTTTATTCTAGATTTTTAAATCCATTTAAGATTAATTATTCACATAAAAATTAAAAGCATATGAGTAGGTTATAAAATTTATTCATAGAAGATAATTATAATACAAATTACTTTAAAGATAAATAATTAATAAAAATAAAAAAATGGACGATTTTTATTATTAATATCTAATTTATAAAAATTTGCTTTTTTAGGAGATTGTATATCATTATAACGTTTAAAAATGGGGTTATAAATTTCATTTACTTTTATTCATAAAACATTCTGCTCCTTATAATTAAATTAGATATTATTTGAGATTAAATTAACAAGAATGTGTACTTTTATGAAAAATGTAAAAATTTGGATGAAGAATTTAAAAAACAAGTTTTTTTGTTTGCTATTTTTTCATGAATAAGTGATATTTAAGGCTAAATACATAATAGCCTTTTCAATTTAAAGTAAATATATTGCAGTAAGCCATTTTGCTTACAAACAATTAGAATGTAAAATTGCTACTTCAATGAATGTTTAGCATTATAGAATATACGTTACGGAACTTAACTTTAAAATTTCACGTTTTTTTAAATAGAAAATAATAATTTTTAATATTTAACCAGAAAAAAAGATTAAGCCTTAGTATAATAAACCTTTAATGAATTCCTTGAAGAAAAAATCAGAGAACTCGAAATATATTTCGAAATTACTGTCTTAAGCTTGCCTTTATATTTAATGAATCTTATAGTAATGTTTTGACACTGCACATATTTTTTCCAATTACTAAATTATTGAAAAAGTAAAAAAATTCAATATATCACTATAAATGCTATTATAAAAAGACAGGCTTAAACTTACTAGTAAAAATACTTTAAATATAGTTTTTTATTGATATATTAGAAATATTCCTAAAATTATTTTAAAATAAAAGGATAAAATATTATAAGATTCTTAAAAATATAAAGTTTTATACTGTTCTAAAGTTATCTCAATATAAAAAAACAATTTACCCTTCAACAGAGGGAAAATATTTATATAAATTTCCAAAAACATTGTAACATATTTGAAATAACTTAAGAATTAAACCTTTTGAATCAAGTTGGTTTTTAATAAGTAGTTTTTGGTAGGGATTTTTTGATGTAATTCCTTAATTATAGCACATTTGCTAAAATTATCAAAACCTTAATTCTTATATAAAAGTACAATGTTACTTTGAGTCATTCATAAATTATTCAATGAATTGTTACCTTTGGAATTCAAAAAAATACAGTAAAAATCATAGCGAGAAGATGAACATAGATCCATTTCTATAAATAAATATTAAATAGCAAAAATTAGGAATTTGCATGGGGAAATTTTTGAAACAGTAAATATAAAGCAAAAATATAAAAAAGATAACAATAACTATATATAACGGAAACATTTTTTATTTATAAATAAAATTAATGGTTTTATATAATGCATCCAAGCTCTTATATATTGTAAAAATAATATAAATATAGTATAAAACAGACAACCTATGATTCATTCTATATGGAAATAAATTTCGTATAATTTATTTACGGGTAAATGACATCACAAATATTTATTTAGTTAAGAATATATTGATCCAAGGATGAAAATATTAAGTGGGAGCACATGATTTAGCATGAATACATTACCAGAAAATGCATAATATTTGATTTATATTAGATATTGTCTACATTAAGGTCATCTCAATTAAGATGATCTTTGGAATATTTATGAGATACAATATTCCATAAGTTTTAAAAGAAAATATATCTTTTTAACCACAAATATGAATATGGGTTGGAAATTATACTATGTTTGTTTTAATATAGCTACAAAGAATAAAATTATAACTTTATACGTTTAGCCCTCTATTTTTAAATAGAATTCATCCTTTATGTGTTTTGTTTTTACTGATAATTACAAAAGAGGGATAGAAATCATCTACAAGATGACTTTAGTTAAATTTTAATCACATTATTTGTGTATTTTATAGTTTGAAATTTTAATTTGTGCATCTTAAAATCTAAAAAAAGTACAAATTCGGAAATTTCGCAATATTTTTTTTGAATAAATAAATACTTTTATGCAAGGGGATTTATTTATAATATTACTATATTTCGGACATTAATCGAAGGTACAATACATAGGTAGGTAGGGAATAAATGCAGGCAGAATTTAGATAAATATGGTATAAAAAATTAAAAATTCCCAATTCTTAAAATTGTCACGAGAATGTTATTTAATTAAAAACAGTATTCAATTACTTTCGATTAATTTAGCATTTCAACATTAGATAACGTCGATGCCTAAATTTACTATCTTCTTTAATATGGCATCTTTTTTTAAAAGTTAATAAATTGTAGAATTATAGGAACATGTAATTGTGACTTTTAACGAATATAAATGAATTAATCCTAAATTTGATCTAGAATTCTAAAATTAAATTGCCGAGAGATTATTTTTACTATAAAATGCCACGCTCCTAATGTTGAATTCCCTCTAATTTTATAAGCTAATCTGAAAGCTATTAGGTTGTTCTTATATCAATTTTCCTTCTACATAAGAAGAATATTTTACTTTCATCGTTTTATTAACTGATGACCCAAAGCAAAAAATAAAAATATAATTTCTCCCTTATTTCACTAGGACTTTTAATAGAATGAACAGATTTATTGCCGGAAACATTATCTTTTTGTCGATAAAATACTTTAATTATTTTTCCTAGAAAAAAATTGATATTTAAAGTATTTTTTTAATCCATCTATGAATAATTTCAGGAGAAAAAATCCTCCCAGATCCAGCTAAAATTTAAATAAACAACCGTTCGGTAAATCACTCTTTGTTTGCTATCTTCAAAACCATAGTTTTTTATCTGGGCAGCACGTCACTTTTATAAAAATATTCAAATAAACTTAGTAATACTGTTTATTTACATCGAATTTTTCTTATCCTTTCATTTTCCCATCAAATATGGAACAATTAATAAAGTAACTATCATATTTTAACAGATAAATTGAGATGTATGACGTCTTATCTGCCTTCCTTATATAATATTATTAAAAGAAGCCTACAAATACTTTATAATCCATATTATTTTAGAATATTGTTGAAAATTGTTTAACAATTTTCTCCAAATCTTATGGGAAAATCAACAAAAAACTATGAATTAAATACCAATCTAAATACTTTGTCTTTTTTAAAAAATGGGCTTAGAATCTATTAGCACTATAGTGTATTATTGTTTGATGATATTCGGGGTTTAATTTTTTCAAATGAAAGATTTATTTTTTCAATTGGGTGTATATAAATATTAAACTTTGGATCAGTTTTTTTATCAGCCCAAAAAGTAACAGTCTTTTTTCATCGCCTATAATTACTCAAAAAAAAGGAAAATCATAAGAATTTTTTTGAAACTAATTTTGAAGATTAACTTACAAAAAAACAAAAACCAAACAATACTGTATAAATCTGCACTTGGTACACTCAGAAAAAAAGGTGCAACTTGTTTGAAAAAGCATGTATATAAAAGTTTCACGACAATACATTGGCAAGAATGCTCGGAGATGTTTAAATACAACTTGTATTGGATGCCGAAAAAGAACATTAATTCGTAATAGTTCTTTCTTTGAGGATTTGAAATTAAATTAAATAAATCTTTAAGAATTTTTTTTTTACTGGATGGATAATCTACAACAAAAAGTTATGTTAAAAAAATTAAACATATGCTATTCTGTGTATAGAAA